ATTTACCTGGTCAAATAGTATACATGAACGACATCTGTGTATTCGGTTGGACTCCAGAAGAACATGATTCACGACTGCATGCTGTGTTACGTCGACTACACGATCTTAACCTCAGCTTAAACCTCGAGAAGTGCAAATTTAATGCTAGTGAGATCGAGTTCCTGTGCCACATTATAACAAATGACGGTATGAAGCCGAGTTTTGAAAACGCACGTGCCATCACCGAGGCTCCTTGCCCACGGAACTCCACTGAAATAAAGCATTTTCTAGGTATGTGTTCTTACAACCTACGTTATCTGCCGGATTTCACAAATATTGCTGAGCCACTGCGTGAATTGACAAAGGAGAAAAGTGTATTTGTTTGGGGTCCACCCCAACAAAAGGCATTTAACGAGATAACACGCCGCATTGCTTCCACACCAGTTATGGCGATTTTTGACGAGACAGCCCAACGATTGTCTCTACTGATGCATCAAACATTGGGTTGGGTGCTATACTATCTCAAATTCAGAATGGGCATTAAAAAGTTATTGCATACGCTTCCAGAAAATTGTCGGCGGCGGAGCTTTCTTACTCTGCCGGGGAAAAAGAAGTCCTTGCATGTGTTTGGGCCTGTAAGAAGCGGAATTTGTTCTTGTTCGGAAGACCCTTCACTCTTCGTACAGACCACGCAGCGCTAACTAGTTTACTTACTCGCGGAATAAACGGCACCAGGCCACTTCGGATCCATCGCTGGTATGCACGATTGTTAACGTACGATTTTCAAATTAAATTCCGTCCCGGACGCGAAAATCAGGTAGCAAATGGGCTCTCTCGACTGCCACTCAACGAAATTGAAAATAATGAGGATGATAACGAGAGGTTAATGGTGTCTTCCCTGAGTAATGAACCAATCTCAGCCCTGACTAAGGAAGAACTCCAGAAGGCGACTCAAGAAAATGAGACACTCTGCCACGTTCAGGGTTTTCTGCTAAACGGTTGGCCACAAAATAACAAGATCACAGGCGAGTTTCGTCCGTACTACGTGTTGCGTCACGAACTTTCATTTATAGCTAAAGGTTTAATGTGTGACGGAAAATTTGCGGCTTCTCGGAGTTTGATACAAAAGATCATGCAATGGGCTCATGAGAGCCACCCTGGTATCGTTCGTAGGAAATGCAAGGTTGACGCATACTTCTGGTGGCCCAAAATGACACACGAAATAGAAAACCTTGTTCATGACTGCTCTTCATGTCAGAGGGCAGACAAGAGTTCAATGCCGGTTTCATCCCCTATACAACCCATTGACTATCCTATACGACCGTGGGCCAAGATAGCGGAGTCCATTTAGCTCAGCGCCTCAGCATCAAATGAACTGTTTGGTGGCGACCTGCTTTTACAATAAGTGGCCGGAAGTCCATTTGTGTGGAGAGGTGACTACTGCCAGCATTATTCGATGGCTGAAATATATGTTTTCCCGTTTCGGATTACCAGAGGAGATAGTGACGGACAAGGGGCCGCAGTTTACGAGCCACGAGTTTCATTCGTTCCTCCAACTTCACGCTATTCGGCCCTCACGTACAACGCCGTACAATCCAGCGGCAAACGGCATGCTAGAGCGGCTCAATCGATCCTTGAAAGAGAGTATCCAAACTATTCGCTTATCTGGTACAGGTTGGGATGATGCATTACTACAAGCACTATTTTCTTACCTAACCGCACACCACCGAGCTACAGACAAAACGCCAGCTAACCTCATGCTTGGGAGTAAGCTTCGGACTAAGTTGAATGCCGCACTTTCTATTCCTGAAACAATAATTCCGACGAGTTAGATCGTCGCCATCGATATCAGACCACTTCCCGGCAGCACACTACTCCGCTCCATCCCGGAACATTCGTGAGCGTGAAAGTAAACACTGCATCAAAAGGACAGCCTACATTATCAGATCCGATAAGAATAATGCATGCATGTGGGCCAGGCACTTACCGGTTGGAGGATGGCCGCACAGTCAACGCCCGGAGACTATTCACAAGGATCAGACGAACGGAGCATATGCCACCAACCTTCACGGACGAAACCACGCAAAGCACGCAGCTCCGCAGGACTGGCTGAGAACAAAGACGACCGAATCGATATGGATTTGACGTATCAAACGATTAGGCGGAGAGGTGATGTTGTGTATTCTGTCAGCATTCTTGACCTAGTTTAAACAGACAGGTGCACACAACCCCAGACACACACACACACCCAAAGCGTAAAATTCTCTGCTTCCCTATTGGTTCATCATTCTCTTTGTGCTACCTTAATTTACTCACCCAGTTAGACGTTGATCAGATTACAGCAGTTCGTTTATCAGAATGACCTTTTAACTTGCTCGTGCATTTTGACCTTACGTACACAACAGTCTGTTTGTACACCAAAGTATCCTTAATAATTCCGAACATAAAACTTTACGTTTAGAGGGTCCACGTACATTTAAAAGGACCCGGATTAGTGAAAACACGGAAACGTCCAGCAATGTCGCCACCGATATTACTAAGCAAATGCGCCCTGCAACAGCGAACAGAACCTCACAAGGAAGCCACATATGTAGAGCAGGAGTAATTGCGCAAACTCTGCGTTAGGGCGATAGCATCCATAGGTGCCCTACAGGGCAACCCAACGGCAAAGCTTTGGAAATAATACCAAGGTAAACAAAATATGATTACAATATTATAGCAAAAACACTTACGGTTGTCCGTATTCCAGAAGCATGTGTACATGTGAAGTAAACAGGAGTCGGAAGATCCCCGGGGTCAGGCGAGAGAAGGCTCTGCGAATAGAGTAAAACATCCTGTAGGTCGCAGCGACTTTTTCTTGGTATCTTCATTAGATTTGAGGTCAGACGAAAGAAATGTTAATGTCTACTTGATACATCTGATAAGGAAAACTGGACACGGAGTTGTCGCAGGCGGGAGTTGCTTTCGCGAAGACAGAGACATACTGCTGGGCTAAAAGAATGGCTTTATCAGCGTCTTCGTAAAGTAAATTTCGATGATTAAAGGAACACAAGGTGGGGATGCCACTGCCAGCCATGGTACTTCTTTTTAGATAAGAGCAAAGCATTTTGGGTGTCGTTCTGGAATGTGCTGCTAATGATGGCTCATGTTGCTGACGTTTCTGTCGCTTCAACGCGACACAAGCATTTCTGATGGTCTTGTAGGAAGAGTAATCGAACTCTGTTTGAGATTGCCTGAAACCATCCCACAATTTGCACATTCTGTTCATCAGGGATCTCAATTCGCTGTCAATCAAAGGTGGATCCATCTTAAAAGACTTTCTACGGGAGAAAGGAACGACCTGCTCAATGAGAGAAGTCATTCTGTAGAGCACAAGGTTTCACGCATCATCAAGAGTAATGGGATCAGGAATACTCCAGTCCCTAGCGCTTGCGGACGTTCTTAGACGGAGGGGATCCGCATGCCAAAAGTTCCGACGACAACCACCTTGGCAATGGATCGTGAGGCGTCGTGTCCGTTGGAATGAAACGACAAAATGATCACTTTTGCCGATGGGTTGAAGAACTGTTAGGTTCGTGACCTCTGACTGAGTTGGGGTAAGCATAATGTCCAGGATGTTTGGCGTTTGGTCGGCAACAATTCGGGTTGGCATGGTGACGTGTTGAAACAAATTACAATCAATAACAGTCTCAAGTATGGTAGCATCAAAAGAGTCAGGTGGAGGACCACAAAGAAGTAGGTCCCAGTCGATATTAGGGGCATTAAAATCCCAAATGATAATACTGTCCTTTCCCGAACAGTGCTTCCTGATCCAATCAAGCAAATGAACTCCGGATCCCGATGGAGCTCTGTTAACACCACCAATAGTGTAGGATCTGCATCCATCATGAATACGGCACCACAGGGCATCAAAATCACCATCGTCGCCACTAATAGCTGCAACCAAGTTGGCCTTGAGTTCGGCCTTCCAGTAAAGTATAACGCTGCCACCGAGCCTACCTCCAAGACGGTCGGCTCGACAAAGACTGCATACGGGGATAGAAACCTCTGAGTCTATGATGTCTGCAAAAGGCCAAGTTTCGGTAAAGGCCATCAAGTCTGGGCGAGTACTGACGCAATCAACTGTACCTCATCAAGTTTATTTCTCAAACTGCGTACATTGGCAACAATTACACCCAGTCCGTTCTCGTGCTTTACTGTCCTGGGTTGAGGAGAATTGGCCTCCACCGGGTTATCGGGGTTCTCCGGCTTAGGCGAAAATCCCCGATGTGGAGGTCTGTCTCACCACTCGCTCAGCCGGATCGGAGCTCATCAACGGCGGTTTTCATTTTAATACGAACTTCCGGAGAAAGACCTCACAGGACGTAAAATGGCT